GGCCATGCCCCTTTCCTTTAAGGGTACGCATCACTTCTCACAAACCATTGACCAGAACTTACTCAGTCACATGGCCACACTTAGATGCAAGGGAAGTTGGGAAATGTAGTCTTTATTCTAGGAAGTCATGTGTCCAACTAAAAACTCTAGTACCTGGGAAGAAGGTGAGAGCAGGTATTGGGAAACAACAAGCAGTCTGTTGCAGACCTCTTCACCAGCCAACTCTGCCCTTTACAGCCCCGACGGAGACCTGTCATGAGCAACCACACAGCTACCCACATTCTGAACTTCGCCCTGCGCTCTGTGCTTGGGGAAGCTGACCAGAGAGGTTCCCTGGTGGCTCCTGACCGTCTTCGGTTTGACTTCACTGCCAAGGGAGCCATGACCACCCAACAGATCAAGAAGGCTGAGGAGATTGTTAACGAGATGATTGAGGCAGCCAAGGTAGGTTGGATTATGTATAAGCTCTTGGGTCATGAACCTCACTCCTTCCCACATCATCACTTTCTGTCCACAGAGCTTCAGCGGCCCGAGTGCTCTCAGTCTGTCGTACCATATTCTGTCCTGCACCCAGATTTGCTTAAAACAATGATTCTCAAACTGCACTGGGTAGGGTGCAGCGATGGTGTTCAGTGGAGGGGCCTTCGGGCCTCTGGGGAGGGGCAGAGAGAGGACAGCCAGAGCTCTTCTAGTTATGTCTGTTTTACATTTAGTGCATCCATGTAAGATTTGGTTCACAGTTTAACACAATATTTTTTGGAAATTTTTATTTCAGTGCCTTCTCTCAGGAGGCTCAGGGCACATGACAGGCGGAGCTGGGATTAGAAACCCAGAGTCCTGCCTGCAAGACCACATGCTGCCTGGTGCTTCCTGCTGTACCTCCAGAGAAGACCTTTTCCCAGCTTTTTTTTCTGTCTCCTTTGCATGCAGCCCGTCTACACCCAGGATTGTCCCCTGGCAGCAGCTAAAGCCATTCAGGGCCTGCGGGCTGTGTTTGACGAAACTTATCCTGACCCTGTGCGAGTCGTCTCCATTGGGGTCCCAGTGTCTGAGCTGTTGGATGACCCCTCCGGTCCTGCTGGCTCACTCACTTCTGTTGAGTTCTGTGGGGGAACGTGAGTACCTTGGGGGGAGCAGTAGAGGGGGTCACCGGCATTACCCTTGGAGGATGTGGGTACTAGACCAACTCTTGTTTATTTAAGGTTGGAATGATGTCCTCGGAAGTGCACTTGGCAAACAGTATTCCCAAGAATGTTAGCATCCTAGTGCTCGTGTCTGACGTGAACATTCCCTGGGTTTGTGATGAAATGTTCTTCCTCAGAGAAGGAAGCACTTATCACATAATTGTTTGCTCTTGTCCCCTGGGCTGATCCCAACAAGAATCAGGATTCTTGGCCTGTGAATTCAGGATCCAGCAAGGCCTTGGAATGCCCGTCAAGCTCTCTGACCCGGCCCCGTTCCATTCCTGGGACCTCATTTAGCTCCCTTTGTCAATTTGAACGGCATCTGGGGAGTTAACCCCATTGTCGCAGAGCCTTTGAGTCAGGCCCCATGGTAGGCCCAGCTCAGTTTTGCTTAGGATAACCAATTATTTCTGCCAACTTAGATTCCTCTATAGCATTTGGAACCTCCATGGGGTCTTTTTGGGATGGGCATGGTGGCCTTGGAAATTCCTGTTTCTGAGGGAAGCCTGGTGAAAACACTCTTAAGGCCATGGTAGAGCCCATCCAGGACCTACCGCCGCACGCCTCAGGCAGGCAGGGAGCAGGAGGGCATGTGGAGGGTGGCGGAGGGATCTGGGGGACCAGGTTCCAGGCCTCCCTCTGTCCAGCTAAGTTAGGCCTTCAGATGAGTCCCACTTCTGCCTTAACTCTTTGCGTGACACTCTTTAGGCACAAGAAAACAGCTTTCAGCAACTTTATGCCACCCTCTCAAAATGACTGAGTTAATGAGCATTTGAGGTTCTCTGAGCAACTGGGGAATAAAACCTATTTGTTTAAGGAGTTGTAAGATTTCAAAGGTAATCTCCAGTGAGCTGGGATAGAAGAATACAGCTTATGTTCCACCAGAGAGAATAAAAAACATGCATGAATATAGAGCCCATCAGCAGTAACACTGTATTGGGTGTTAGGGACTACAAAGCACTTTCATGAATCTTTACAACAGCCCTATGAGGGAGCATTACCCCTATTTTATACACGATGAAACTGAAGCTCAGAAAGGTGGTGTCTTTCTTAGTTTCACAGTGCTCTCAGCTCCAGGCCCCTTCCTAGCCAGCGCTGGATTCTGAAATTACCTTAACAACATGAAGGGCCTTTTCCCACTGCCCCCTTTAGGAGCTTCCATTGGAGCGACTTACCTCGGAGGGCTCTGGGCTGGGGAGCCAAGGGCTCCCAGAATGCAGTGGGGGGACCAGGGCGCATGGGCTTCCTCATCACCATGGACTTTGTGTTCTGCCGTCAGGCACCTGCAGAATTCAAGTCACGCGGGAGCTTTTGTGATTGTGAATGAAGAAGCTATTGCCAAGGGCATCCGGAGGATTGTGGCTGTCACAGGTGCTGAAGCCCAGAAGGTGAGCAGATCACACTGGTTTGTGGCTTATTCGAACAAGGCATGAGGAGTCCAGTCACGAAATCCATCATGCAGATGGTTACATGGCTGCTGTAGTCAGAAGTGGAAGTACAGAGCTACTACCCCCAAATATCCTCTAGTTACCTTGCCTTGCAGAAGAAAGCCACCAGTGCACAAGATTTCATAGCAATCTTATGTTCAGCCTTTAAAAGTATATGTAAAAAATAAAAAGTATACGTAAATCCTGCCTTCTACCTGGTAATATAGCTGTGTCTAGGAGGATAAGCCAGAGTTTTGCTGTGGCTTCCAGTGCCCCCAGGACTTACCCACATCTCCCTAGGGGTACATGCCTAGTTTGAAATGCACGGAGTATGGGGACAGCTGCTGTGGGGGTGGGGACTCTAAGCTTGTGCCTGATGTGTGCTGAAGCCTGAAGGGTGATAATTTCCTGGGGTGAGGAGGGCTTCCGACTCATGAGTTTCTGTTTACCCCCTGACGCTGAGTTAGTGTAGCCTTTCTACTAGCTGGGCGTGTGAGGAAGGTGCTCCTTTCTGGGGCATGAGGCTGCACACACTTGCCTCCCTGAAGGAAGAGAACATTCTGGCATCCTGGGGATGTGTTGTTCCATAGCCTGCCATCAGTGTTGCCCATAGTTGTTTAGAGACAGACTAGTGACGCTGACTGTTACCTGGAGTTTGCAACTCTGATTGTCCCCGTCCCAGGCCCTCAGGAAAGCGGAAAGCTTGAAGAAATCTCTCTCTGTCATGGAGGCCAAAGTGAAGGCCCAGACTGCACCAAACAAGGACGTGCAGAAGGAGATTGCTGACCTTGGTGAGGTAGGAGTAGCCAGCCTCCTTCCTGACTCAGGGCCTGCTCAGTGCTGGATCCTAGGCCTGGTGAATCAGACACTTCCTGTTCTTGAAGAACACTCAAGTCCTGGTTCTCAGTGCAATGGGCCTTTGGATGGACATGTATTGTCATGCAGTCTTGCAAAGGGGACTCCATGGATCCTGGTCCATGGACCCCTAGAACCTGCCTACTGCCCCCGTTGCCAGTGGCAGGGGAGCCCATTCCAAACATGAGTGGGCACTGGTGTAGAGGGAGTTGGGGAGGTGTCATGGGTGCCCACAGTTTCCAGGCTTCCTGGTGTTAATATTTGGGGGCTTCCCATAAGCCCTTCACAGGCTGTATTCACTGCCTGGTAGGGGCCAGGTCTTACAAGAGTCCCAGCTGTTTTTTCTGCCTCTTTCTCTCCAGCCCTGCTCGTTACAACTGCTGTGGTTACTTGTAAAGTGACTGGTCTCAAGGCCAGTGGATACCTTTTTGTTTTTTGTCGGGGAGGACTTTAGTGTTCAAAGCCAGAAGGGTGGAGTGGGCTGGAGCCTCATATCCTAGCTCCTTGTGGTTCAGATCTGAATGGTTTTCTGGTTCTGGTTCTAGGCCCTGGCCACTGCAGTCATCCCCCAGTGGCAGAAGGATGAATTCCGGGAGAATCTCAAATCCCTGAAGAAGATCATGGATGACCTAGACCGGGCTAGCAAAGCCGATGTCCAGAAGCGAGTGAGTACTAGCAGTGCTGCTGGCTGGAAGGGAATCGAGCACTGACCCAGCAAAGGCTGTGCAGACTGCTGTCTGTTTCAGTCTGAGCCCTTGACCTGAGACCTCTCTTCTGGACCTCCTTTCTTGCAGGTCTTGGAGAAGACAAAGCAGCTCATTGACAGCAATCCCAACCAGCCCCTCGTCATCCTGGAGATGGAGAGCGGCGCCTCAGCCAAGGCAATCCAGGGACTGGGGTTCCAGATGCTGCTCTGTGCCTGTCTTCTGCTTGTCTTCTTCTCTCGGGGGCTTCAGCCCTCAGTGGCTGAAGTGTGAGCTCTGTGGCTCTGAGTGGAGTAGTCACCTGAGGTCCCACTCCCTGGGATTAAGGTTAAGCTGAGTCATGGAGAGTTCTGGTGGCTGGAGAGCTACAGCTCCTGGAGATGGAAGGCAAACCTTAGAGTCAAGAGTGCAGGCCAGGCCCTGTGCTTGGCTCCTTCTCTATGCAGGCTTCTAGGACCAGCACCTGCTCTTGGAAGGGGCCTGGGGATGGGGGCCAGGGAGTGCTCTGAGAACCGAGTTCTGCAAACTCGCTGGAGAACATGGTCCCCTTCCCCAGGAACATGGCTTGATACAAGGTTCTTCCACAGGCCCTGAACGAAGCCTTGAAGCTCTTCAAGACACATTCTCCTCAGACGTCTGCCATGCTCTTCACAGTGGATAATGAGGCTGGCAAGATCACATGCTTGTGTCAAGTCCCCCAGGTCAGAATGTGCTGCGTCCCTGTAGGATGTGGTATGGTGTCTGTAGCTTTTCTGAGGAAGCTCGGTTCTTACACTTGTTTTTACAACCCCTATGTGCATTTTTGTGCAACTGTTAGAAATGGCCCTTCTCCTGCCCACCTGTTGGTCACCTCCAGCACCTCTTCCCCTGTGGCCCTCTCCTTGGTGGATGCATTTAACTGTGCTGGCGGATACCTGGCCTTGCCACTTAGTATGCCTTGTCCTGGCTGTGAAACCAGTACGATCTGCCTCCGCCTCCAGCAGCATCACCCAGGGCAAGAGTGGGTATCGGTGGTTCCCATATCCTTTTTCTTTCCCTTACCTCCATGCCTCCCTCCATCCCATCCTCTGTCCTGACTCCCACTTCGCCATCTCTCTTCCAGAATGCAGCCAACCGGGGCCTGAAAGCCAGTGAGTGGGTGCAGCAGGTGTCAGGTCTGATGGATGGCAAAGGTGGTGGCAAAGATGTGTCTGCCCAGGCCACAGGCAAGAACGTGGGCTGCCTACAGGAGGCGCTGCAGCTGGCCACTTCCTTTGCCCAGCTCCGCCTGGGAGATGTGAAGAATTGAGGGGAGGGGCAGCTTCCACTGGGAAGCATCTCCCCCACACTCGGAAGCATCCGTCCAGCTAGGAGCTGTCCACCCACCACAGGAACATTTGAATTTTGGGACCTTTAAATAGCCCCACTCTGTCCTCCTAACCCAGCAGTAACTGGAACTAACTTGGGTGTGGCCTGTGACTCAATGCCTATGTTACATTTCTGCCTGGAGCCCTACACAGCAGCGCCATCTGTCTAGAACCACTATCCTAGGATTGCTATTTATCATCGTCATGCTCGTGTCTATAGATAGTTCTCTGCAGACCCGATGCTGTGGGTCTGCAGGAAGGAATGATTTTTGCTGCAGAGAATAAAAGGACCACGTGCAATACTTGATGATACCATGTGATCTCTCCCCTCCCCTCCACACCTTCATAAATGCCTATGGTTCCCTGGGTGTAGAATAAATGCTGTGGCTTCTGGTTGCAGTCCTGGCTGAGCCCAGACCCAGACTCCTCTGAGTTTTGGGAATGGCTCCCAGGACTGCCTCAAGACATTTGTGGAGATAGCCCACAATGGCAGGGTGAGATGGAGAGAGGCATTCATCACTCAATAGAAGATGAGCCACAGGGCTGAAGAAGCAGAGAGAGGCTCCTGTCTTGGAGTCTCAGGCCCATGTCCCTCTTCCCCTCCCTCTTGAGGCATTCTGATGCAGGAGGTATTCAGTTGTCTCCTCCAGTTCCTTTGCCCACTATTCCTGCTTCCTTGACCCTAAGATGGACGTGAGCACGGACATCTTACCCTGTCCCTGAAACAGGTTCACCCAAATCTGAAGAAAAGTTGGGTGTGGAAACTGGTGTGCAGGGAGGTTAAAAGTACTGCTTACCCTTACCAGCTCCAACTGATTTCATGTCCCTTGGGTATAGCAGGCTGGCTGTGGGGTCCAGGGTCACACTCCTGCTGAAGTGGAGTGAGGAGGAAAAGCAGGTGGATTCTGGGAGAAGCAGCAGAGGCTAGCTGTCACAGACAGACGGAGGGTGCTGAGGTCCTGGCTTCAAGAAGCACATGCCAGGTGGGGAGTGTTAGGGACACAAAGAGTTTACATAATCCCGTGCAGAAGAGAGATCATTCCAATCATTCAACAAGCATTTATGCCAGCCAGGGCACTGAGGGCACACCCTCAGTCTTGAGTGACCAAGACAAAAGGACACTGCCTTCTTGGGCAAGACAGTGGGGAACACATAAAATCGTCACACAAGTAAATGTAACGTTAAAATAATTGCAACCTTCATACGTGAAAGGAAGAAGACAGTTGCCCAGGTCCTGTAGGCTAGAGCTCAGGCCCCACTTACGCAGGCCTGCCCGGTGCGTCCATTAATCCATGGAGCCCTGGGAGTCCTTCACCGCGGGCCCGCGGGCTCTGCAGTGCTTGCCCTTCTCCCTCCAAAACGATAGAGGGCGGTGCGGCGCTGCCGCCGCTGTCCCGACAGCCCTCACGAGGGCTCAGCGGAAGCGGCGCGCACGCCTGGAGCCGCCATGCCCGGGGACCACCGCCGAATCCGCGGGCCCGAGGAGTCGCAGCCGCCGCAGCTCTACTCGGCGGAAAAGGAGGAGGAGCCCGCCGCCCGCGACCCGACGCGGCTGCGACCCGTGTACGCGCGCGCCGGGCTGCTGAGCCAGGCCAAGGGCTCGGCCTACTTGGAGGCGGGAGGCACGAAGGTGCTGTGCGCCGTGTCCGGCCCGCGCCAGGCCGAGGGCGGCGAGCGCGGCGGCGGCCCGGCGGGAGCGGGCGGCGAAGCCCCTGCCGCGCTGCGAGGCCGCCTCATCTGTGACTTTCGCCGCGCGCCCTTTGCGGGCCGCCGGCGCCGCGCGCCCCAGGGAGGCGGCGAGGAACGTGAGCTGGCGCTGGCCCTGCAGGAGGCGCTCGAGCCGGCGGTGCGCCTGGGCCGCTACCCCCGCGCGCAGCTCGAGGTGTCGGCGCTCCTGCTGGAGGATGGAGGCTCGGCGCTGGCCGCGGCGCTCACGGCCGCCGCGCTCGCTCTGGCGGACGCGGGAGTCGAGATGTACGACCTGGTGGTAGGCTGCGGCCTCAGCCGCGTGCCGGGGCCCGCGTCCACCTGGTTGCTGGACCCCACGCGGCTCGAGGAGGAGCGCGCCGCCGCCGGCCTCACCGTGGCGCTCATGCCGGTTCTCAACCAGGTGGCCGGGCTGCTGGGCAGCGGGGAGGGCAGCTCCACCGAGAGCTGGGCAGATGCCGTGCGCATGGGCATCGAAGGCTGCCAGCGCCTCTACCCCGTACTGCAGCAGTGCCTGGTGAGGGCTGCCCGCCGGAGGGGCACCGCTGCCCCGCCCTGAACCAGAAGTCTGAGCCACGACAGACACCTAGGACCGTGCTGCCGCTCCCCAAAAGGACCTGCACCGTACGTAGGCTTCCAGACTGCGCGGCACCGAGAGCTCAGAGCACAGGAGTGGATCTGGAGAGCCGTTCACAGAACTGATGCACTGGACAGCTGTGTTGGAGTGATTTTTTTGCAGACTGTTCCCGTTAAAGATACTTTTCTACTTGAATTGGCTGTCAGCTCCCACCTACTTGAAGAAACCTGCGAATGAATGCACCCTGACTCCCAAGCTGTAAAGGACTTAAGCTGGGCTTACCAGTAAAACAAGACTAGGAACTACTACTGCCTTGTAAGGATGTAACCTATGCAGGCCAGCCAGTTACTCCCTCTTGTGTAATTGGGCTGCTTTTGAGACAGTGGGGGGCTGGGCCTTCTAACTTAATCTGAGATTAAACAAAATCCTTTTTATATCAGAAAAAGACTTCTTTGGTGGTTCTTGGTACAGGATTTAAAAGATACAGAATTTAAAAGCAAGGCTTTCCTGAGTTGGGTAGTGTGTTCTTGGACTCCTGGTGTCAGGGGCCTAGGGACAGCATTGTCTTAAATGTGTCGTGTCCCTTAGCCTAGCATGAGCAGAAGACACAGGCCGAAACGCAAGGAGCTGCAGGGGTGTTGTAGGGAAAAGCGCTTTGGAAGAAAAGCTGCCCCTTATGCACCAGAGTGAGCACGGCCAGTGCTGAGGTGTGAAGAGAGTAGGAAGGGTTGTGTGACCCCAGAAGCCTTCTGGGTGCACCCACAGCATCTGGTTTGGTACTGAGCAAGTCCACAGCTCAAGATTGGGCTGGAAAGGGTTTGACTCGGTAGAAGCTAGATCTCATCCTTCCTTGGCCATGGGCAGGGCTACACAGCCAGAGGCCTCCTCCCCTGAAGTGGGAGTCCGGACTGGCTTCATTATCTGGTGTCTCTTATCCAGCCTTGGTTTCTGGGAGAGGGCAGATGAACTGCTGGGAGTGAGAGCGGATGTTGGTAGTCCATGTGCACCCTAGTTATTCTGTAGGGCAGAGCCGGCCTGGCTAATTGACCATAAGGGTGGGATCGTCCCTGTGTGGCTCCCGAACCCCGTGGGCTTGTGCTCAGGTCTGGGTTGGAGGAAGGCAGGGCAGCCTGGTCCCTTCTCTGTGTCTCAGTTTAGTGTGAGCTTCTGAATTTGAGTGTCTCGGGCATGCTTAGCTTCTCTAGGAAGGGCTAGCCTGGGACAGTCCAAGGACCAGAATGAGGCTGAGACCACACCAAGAATCCCTGACCAGGGAAAATAAATACAAATTTAATTTTCCTCCTTTTGGCGTAATACACATTTCCAGAGCAGATCTGAAATACAAAGTGTCACCAGCAAGAGACAAAATAGAAACAGGATGGAAAAAGGATACCCCTATTCTGAAGGATGGTTTTGTAGGATGGATGGGGCATCTGGAACCAAAAGGGGTTATGTGAGGCACAAGCTGAGGACCTTAAAGCTCAGTTTCAGACAAAGGGACGGTAGGATATTTCCTGTACACACTACCGAGACTGGAAAAAGCTGCCTGGGCCCGATGCTGCGGTATGCTCCTCACACAGACAGGACTTGGTGGGGAGTGGGGGAGGGGGGGCGGGCTCGTGAGGGGAGAAGAGCAGTCGGGGCTGATGGTGCTCCTGGGGGGCCGTGTCTAGCTGCCCCTTGCAAGACTGGGCCCCAGCTTCATGAGGATGGTGAGCTGGTCCTGGGTAGTTGCAGGCCTCCTCTCATCCCTGCCAGCTCCAGGACTAGCATCTGGAAACACAACCTCCAAAGCTAAAGCCGCTGTTACAGGGAGGCTTCCTGGCTGGTCTGGTGGAGCTGTGCCTCCACTTCCATTGCCCTCACTTCAGATGGGTGCCTCTGGTTCACAGGTGCCACTAGGAGGTCTTCAAAAAGTCACACAAGGCAATACAGGGAGCCACCCGGGAAGGTGCCTAGAGCAGATAAGCCTGGAGGGGTTCCAACCTTCTACTGGCTGCCCTCCTGGTCTAATGCATGATTCTTCACCTGTAGGAAAAACAGAAGCAGGACTCTGGCCGAGAGGGCTGAGAGGCATTGTATGGCTAGGAAAGGGAGGGCCATCTGCTAACATACCCCAGTCTCCCCCCACCTCCTTTTCTTGTCAGGTTTGAAAGATAAGTGCTATTCTAGATTCTTCTGAGACCTGGGAACCCAGAACCACCAGACAAAAGCATTCTCTCCATCTAGCCCCGTCTTCCCAGTTGTGACTCAGGCCTGGGTGGCAGTACAGGGCCCTCGAGCTCAGCAGGCCAAGGGGCAGAGCTGGCAGGTGGAGGAAGGAAAGCATGTCACTGCCAACTCCCCAGCAGACCCAGCCTTGCTGAGATGCGCAAACAGCCGTGGGGGCTTGGCACACCTCAGGGACAACCAGTAGGGGAGGAGGAGGCTATGGTAGGGCAGGGAACATTCAGGCCCTTCAATCTGCACAAAGGTCTATTATCAGATCCAGATTTGGATATTCTCCATCCAGGAAAGTATGTTTTCCACAGCTTTCCTGGGGAGCCTGGTACCATGTAGACAGCTTAAAGATGGGCAGCAAGTAGGGTCAAGAAAAGGGCAGAAATATGGGTTTTAACAAGCTTACCAGGTGGTTCTTAGGCAAGGAGTCTGGGACCATGAGGCATACCTGTGACATTCCCTCTACAACTCAAGGCATCTCCCTACCCCCTTCCAGGAGGGGATAGCATTTCAGCTCAGGACTGGCCCAGCTGAGCCGACCAATCCTGAGTTGAGAGGATAAAAAGCAGGGCACAGCCCATCTGGGTGTTGCCTGTGGTGGATGTCATGCCTTCCGCAACCATTGTGGGCTCCCGCACAAACCCGAGTCCCTCCCTTGCTCATAGGCCTCAGGACCCAAACACAAGGGTGAGGATGTGGGGAGGCTCCAGGCCACTCACTGCTTCCTCTGAGTCTGTGCTCTCCTTGTAGCTGCCTGCCTCTGGATGGGCCCTCGGGCCCCTGGGCTCCTGCTGGGGTTCAGTGGTTCTGCGTGAGGAACCGTTATTTCCAGGGACCCTGTTTTCTCCACTTTTCTCTGTCCCTGTGCAGGGAGAGTCATCAGTTAATGGCTGGGTTTGGAAGCCCCTGCTGGCCCCAGAGAGGCCACTTGAAGCCCATTACTGCGTGGGGCTTGAGAGGACAAGGTGGGCTTGGGCTGGGACACTCCTCTGTCTCCAGTAACTACTGAGTGGGTGGGAGTCAGAACAACCTAGAAGCCACAAGGATCCTCAAGCCACAGGAATAGCCAGCTACAGGGAGTGTGGGATGGTGTGGTGGGGAGGAACCCTGCAGACAAGGAAAGCCCAAGGCAGGACTCCAGGTGCCCCTGGTACCTTCAGGAGTGGGAAAAGCTTGAGCCCACTAAGAGTGTGGGGTGCCCAACCTGAAATCTGGTCCCTCTGCTGGTCCATGTGTTCCAGAATCTCCAATAGGTGATCCACCTGGGCTTTGATCTGGCTCAGTTCCCCCCTAATGGAGTGCAGCTCTTCTGCTTGGACTGTTGAAAGAGCCCCCAGAGTTGGTATCTCACCAGGCCCAGGAGGCAGAGGGCAGTGGTGCCAGGGCTCCCAGGCCTGCCCTCACTGCTAAGGACTGCCCAGGTCCTCCCTAGCCCTTCACTCACAATTGATCTGCCCTGGGGCCCGGTGGCTGTTCCTGGGGGCCTTGTGGGGACTGAAGCTGCTCTTGACTCCCATGCCCACATAGGTTTTTCGGATCTTGACAGGCACGTGGTTGATGAGTGGTGGGATTCTCTGGTATTTATACACTCTATGGGACAGGACAGAGAGGGTCAAGCCAACCAGGCCCACCTGTTTGCCCAGAGGAAGGAGGCAGGACCCACTCACCTGTAGGGGACATTGTCCCTGTACATCTCGTAGTCCAGGTCATAATTACTGCTGCTGTGGCAGAGACACATGGAGAAGGGGTCACTGTCCAGGGCCAGAGTCCTTGCCCAGACTGCAGTTTAACTTGGGGAAACAGGTATACAGCTTTTCCTTAGAATCCCAGGAATCTCCACTGGAGGAGCCCCTAGGGACTTGACCAAGGTCACTTTGGGGGACCATAGTAAACCAGCTTCCCCGAGTCTGGCCTATGATAAGAGGCACTTCCAGGTGACTCCAGGTGGCAGGAGGGGGACAATTGCCCACAGGTTTCTGGCCAGCCAAAGCAGGGCCCTCCAAAGCCTCCTCTGCCTGCCCCAGGCGCTGCTGACATTCTGGAACTTAGTCTGGCAAAGGATGAAAGGCAAGAGTTAAGTCGGGGCCCAACCCACTGTGGGGATGTGGGAGCCTTTAATCCTTGTGTGGGAATCGCCAGGAAGCGGGGCCAGGCACTGGCAGGCCAACAGGACAGGGTTAGGGGTGTGGCCAGGCCAATTTGCCCTTTGCTCCAGGCTGGGAGAGAGAGGGCGAACCTGGAAGGTTCCAGGCTCTCAATGCGGGGCCTCACCCTCTTCTCTCATGCACCATCACCTCCAGGGAACTGGCACCCAGGAGGCATGGGGAGATCGGTGGAGAGGGACAACTGGGTTCTGGCCTGGGCAGAATGGCCCTGCGGGGACACAGCCACAGGAGCTTCAGGTGCTACCTGCGCCCGGGGCAGGGGCGGGTTATGAGTTGAGGGGAAAGGGTAGTGATATGCTGGGGGCAGCAGTTTCTGAAACAACTTTCTGGTACTGTGCGCCCACGACCCAGCTCAGCCCCAGCCCGCGAGAGGCAATGACTATGGGGCCACTGAGGCGGAATGGAGGACATTCGGGGGCCCCACGCGGGCCCCAGACCTGCGGGTGACATTTCCGGCCACCCTCGTCTCCGCTTTCTGGCTTCATGCAGTCTGGGTGGGCGGCCCGGGAACCGCAGGGAGCCTGATTCCGGCGGTAGGCGGCCTATACTTGGAGAAAGGAAAAGGAGCCAGCGGAGCGAAGGGAGGGCCGGTACCCACCCCCGGGGCTCTGCGGGGTCAGGGTCTGGAAACAGGCAGCCCCCTGACGCCCAGGAACGACCCAGCAAGGACAGAACTCAAGATGGAAAGTCTCAGCGGAACACCGTCGCTGAAGGAAAAAGCTCGTTTGTTCTGGCTGCCTTGGGCTGGCCGGAGCCCCCTCCTACTGGCTGGGTCAAAACTTGGTTAGAAACCAGACACCGGAGGCAGCGAGGAGGGGAGTTGCGGTGCTGTGGTTGACAACCTGAGTTGCTGCAGCGAGGCTTACTCCACCGAAGCATTGGTGGTTCAGTGGTAGAATTCTCGCCTGCCACGCGGGAGGCCCGGGTTCGATTCCCGGCCAATGCAGAAGTATGCTTATTTTTCTACTTTCTTACATTTTTCCTAAAACGGTGTTTTAAAGTAGCCAAAAATGAATGGTAAATGGTATTTTACTGACCACTGAGCATAGACTTGGGAGCTGCTCAAATTGAGACAGGCAGGATGAGAGGGGCTAGGATTTCAGCCGCATGCACAGCTACAGCACCGCTTGCTTGCTGTAGACAAGGGGGTACTTCCTGGTCTGGAGACCTCCCTGCTCTGCCTCCTCCTATCCCCCATTCGCCAATTATCAGTCAGGGCTGACGGCTGTGCTCTGGGGTTTATGGGCTTGCCCCTTTCTCCCTAAGGGGCAGTGGCCTGGTCGCAGGTACACAGCCACCTCACTCCCCTGGTCTGGGTTAATGGTTACGGTTTGCAAGCCGGGACTTAACCACAAAAAGAGAAATAAAATGCACCTTCGAAATGGCGCTGTGAGCAGAGGTCAAGCCACCTCCTCAAGTGTCCTCAGGACCAGGGGCAGAGGTGGGGGTAGGAGGGCAAGGGGAGGGGACCTGGGGCAATCTTTCCACCACAAATCTTTTCCCCCAGGTTGACAAATTCCATTTTGAGGCCCAGATCACGTGGCCTGGACTTGACCAGTTTTCGTGAAAAGGTCATCCAGCAGCTCAGCAGCCACCAAGCCCATCCCCAACCTGTTCCTCCTCTGGGCACCATCTCAAGAGGCCAGAGCCACCCACTGCTGCCCCAGACCCACGCTGCCTGAGACCCCAAGGAAGTGCTTCGTTCTTCCCACTGGAGTCCCCTGGGGACAAACGGCTCTTAAGGAGGTCACCCCTGCTGTGAATGCTGGAGCCCCACTAAATAGAGTCTGATGCGCTGTGGGACAGCTGTCATCACTCCCCATTGCTTCCCCGTTCCCACACTTGCACCTCTCAGAGGACCAAAAGGACTGGCTCTGAGCCTGCTGGGCAAGGGGTTGGTGGTGAGGGAATATGAAATCTGAAAACCGTGATTAGAACTGAAGAACTGAGTAAGGGGTTCACTCAGCCTTCAAAGTGGCCATGTTAAAAAACATGTGCGAGAACCACTTACCTCTCATCAGACAGATAATTGCAAAACTGTGTCAACAGGCACCCCTAGATAAGAGTCTCACACATGAGACAGCCAACCAACATACCACATATACAGCTCTGCATCACCGAGGAAGTGCAAGTTTTAAAAAATATGAGTTACCCACTAGTAAACATCTACTCATAGCCCAAAACAAATGCAGTGACAAGGCCACTCACGCTGGCATTTACAAGGTGCCACAGACCCTCCGGCTGCCTCTGGCAGGGAGAGATTTGGCCTGATCTCTCTGGAGGTCATCCTGGAGACGCAGAGACTTGTCAGAGCAGTCCCCAACCTCGCTCCCCTGCCTAGCCCTGCCACCCCACTTCCGGGGACATGAGCTGGGGCGAAATCCAAAAGAAACCGGAACCTTCGGCACCAGGGTGTTTACACGGGTGCTGTTCCTAAGAGCAACCACCTGTCCACTGCTTCCCCACCTCCCCCACCGGCAAACCGGAAACCACCCAAACGCCCACAGGAGGACCCCAGAGCTGAGTTCCGTTGTCACAAATGCCCACCTGAGGGACAAAAGGGCCACCATGTTCACACACACCGTCATTACGCCTGTGAAAATGGCACGTTGGCTGGCAGAGGTTGGTGAGCTCCTTTATGAAAATGTTTAAAGGTTTCTTGAAAATTTCTTTAAGCGTCTCCGGTTAGGGGCAAGATTTCATTCAGAAAGATTCCCATTTGTTACTTCCCAAACATCTATACCTAGAAAAAGCCCCCAAGTGCCCCCCAGGCGAGGCTCCCCTGGGAGGACCCACGCCCCCTGACTCCAGGGGGCAGGTGGAGGCACCCTCTTCTGCCAGGATGGTGGCTGAGCTACATCAGCCAGAAGGGGCCTTGGAATGAGCTGGGTCAACTCCCTCGGTTTACAGACAAAACATGAGGCCAAGGGAGACATGACCTCCTCAGGTGCCACAGTGAGTAGGATGGGCAGCTTGAGCTGAGGCCCATGTTCCGTCCCAGGAGTACCCAGAGCCCCAAACAAGCTGGGGACCAGTCTCCCTCCCCGGCAGACTCACCAGGAAATGGCTGTGCCCCACCGCCTCTTCTGTCTTGTCTGGGCAGGGCCGGGCTTGGGCTCTCTAGCCATGTCTAAATCTGAAGAGAGAGCAAGAGAGCAGGCAGCGAGTGAGAGGAGGGAGGAAGGGAGGGAGGGTACAGGAGGAAGGACGGAGCGCACGCGGGCCCTACTTGCTTCCTGGCTGGCCCTTCCCTACTCCTCAGCTCTGAGACGGGCAGTGCCCTCCGAGAGGCAGTAATGGACAGCCCAGCCTGGCCTCCTACAGACCCTGGGCCCACCTACCCAGAGCTGGGCTCAGCCTCCAGAGGGGCCATCTGCATCCTCAGGGGGAGCATGAGGTTGAGATGAAATCCCCAAAGAGAAAGGAGGGTGCCTCACTGTTCCCTTCAGACCCCACACGTGTAACAACCCCATTGCCCAGGTCCTGGAATTTGGGGGTGGTACCTTCAAAAGACAGGAAGGGGGATGTCTGTAATCCTTGTGTCCTCTGAGGAGACACCCAGCCCTGGTCTGAGTTAATTCTCAAGTGTTCCCTTGCTGCCTGTCTGCCCACCCACTTGCCTGCCCACTGCCAGGCCCACGCCCCACAGCTGCCTCTGGGCTAAGTCACTGGGCTGGCTGCATCTGAAATGGCCAGAGTGCTTTGAGTGAGAAACCAAGTGAGCAGCAGGCCTGGGCTGGGGAGCAGATACCCTGCTACCCTCCCTCAGTGGGGGAGTCAAGAGCCAGCTGAAGCCAATTCAGAGAGCTGAGAAGTCAAACAAATGCAGCCATCTGTGTACCAGTCATGGGCAGATTGTCTTGTTTCTGGGCTCCTTCAGCATTCACTACTCGAGAGAATAGCTCTATATCCATGGGAGATGGAGGGGAATCCTGCTCACTGCTGTATTCCTCCTACCACCCACTCAGGACCCGGCACTTAGTAGGTGCTCAGTTGATGCCTGCTGAATACACGAAAGGAACTCCATTGAATCAATTCCGGTTTTTGTTTATGGGTTTGTATCAGACCCTAGAGTTTCACCTATGACTTCGAGGCCCCTCCTGGAGCCCACCCCCTTTTCCCTAAAGCTATGGTTATTATCCTCGGCCCACTTTGACTGTCAAGACAATAATAAATGTGAGCCTTCTTTTTCTATTCTCAAGACTTCCTGCAACACAATCACCAAGGGCACCTGCCTGCTGTGGTTAGGAGACTTGCAACAGTGTCCCTGAGGTGCTGACGATCCAGATCGAGTGTTCAACTGGGAGGAAGTTGGAGATTCTGCGTCCCCATTTCTCCTGCATTCATGATTCGGATTCATCCATTCAAGAACATGTTAAACAATCGCCCATGCACCAAGGTAAACACCCGCACTTCCCTGTTGTCTGGTTTTCTGTCTGTTCCTTTCTGCCTGTTCCTTTCACATATTCATACTTGTGGTCGCTTGCACATTTACAGTGTCCAGAGGGGACAGAAATCTATACCCACATCTACCATACAGGGCAACAGTGCACGGGCACTTAGAAAAGCCTGCTCTGCCCAAGGTAGAAGAAGGCTCAGCATTAAAATAAGCTTGCCATTTCCTTGGGCTATATATCACCATTGTCCCCTAAAACTAGAAATACTCAAGAGGCTTTAATCATGAGACCAATTTGTGGGTCGAGTGGGAAAAACCATTCAATGGCCACCAGGTTGCCAATCAGGGCCAATTACCATGAGGGACTGGTGGAGTGTCTAGGAAGTTCACCATCAATGGCAAATCATGTTCAAGTGTAAGGTGGCATCTTCCCGGGCACCTGCCTCCTGCAACCCAGGGCAGGCAAGCATGGGGTCATGGCTAGGCCCCACCCCCATCAAGGGGGCTGTATTAGGCATGGTTCTCTTCCAGAGAAACAGAACCAATAGGATGCATATACAGATAGAAACAGATGTATTTATTTATTTATTTATTTAAAAGATTTTATTGGGGATTGGGGGAGGGGAACAGACAAGTAGCTGCCCTTTTGTGCTTCAGTCTTTTGTTCTTCAGTCTAGTTGTGGAGGACGGACGTCACTTCACTGGCCCATGTTGGTATTATCATTGCGCTCTTCCCGGCTGAGGCAGTCACTCACTGGCCATTGGACAGCCATTCACAGCGGCTCACGGCAGATCTTGGCAGCTCACACCAGCTGCTGGCCTCTCACACTGGCTGCCAGCCACTCACGGTAGCTCACGGTAGCCTGCTGCAGCCTATGCCATTGCCAGCGACTCAAGGCAGCCCAGCTCCAGGTTGAGCTCTTGTTCACCATGTTAGCTGTAGAGGGCACAGCATCACTGGCCCTCATGTGGGATCCAAACCGGGGCCCTGCTGCTCAGAGCTGGCGTTCCAAGCCAACTCTTAACCAACGCTCCACTTGGCGGGCCCGAAACAGATTTATTATAAGGAATTGGCTCACATGATTATGGAGGCTGACAAATCCTAAAGAACTGCAGTTGGCAAGCTGGAGACTTAGAGCCAATGGCATAGTTCCAGCCTGAAGACCATCAGGATCCAGATTCAAAAAGAGTGGAAGTTTCTGTTAGAAATTGAAAGCAGGAAATAACTGATGTCCCAGCTCAACTCAATGTCAAGCAGGAAGAGTCCCTTCTTATTCATGGGAAAGTCAATCTTTGTTCTATTCAGGCCTTTAACTGATTGGATGAGGCCCACCCACATGAGAGAGGGCAATCTGCTTTACTCAAGTCAGCCCATTCAAATGTTAATCTCATCCATTAACACCATAACAGGCTCACCAAGAATAATGTTTGGCTAAATATCTGGGCACCCCATGGCCCAGTCAAGTTGACACATAAAATTAACCATTACAGGGACCAAGTTCCAAGAAGTGGGGTGGAGTTCTTTGTTCTATATTAATCTCTCACAAAAACCCCAACACAGATTTCCTGAGGAACACACTCTCTGGCATTCCCCCAGGCTGTGAGCACTTGACTGCATGGAACACAGATAGGATAGTTACTGGGAGTCATAATGATGTAAAAAAAAATACAGCAGATGATGTAAAAAGAGAGTTCAGCAGCCATGTGGGAAGAAAGCAGAAGACTGAAAGACAGAGGCCAAACGGATGGAAGGACAAGGATAGGAAAAAGGAGAGAAGCAGAAGGGGGTGGACTTATCAAACAACAGGTCCCCAGACTTCCCCTCGCTGACACCCAACCACATCTGAATTCATCAGATGGACACAAAACAGTTCATTTATTTTTATAAGAGCTCCCAGGAAAAAAGAAAAGGGTCACTGTATCACCCCCAATATTAAAGATTGCAACCAACAGCTAAAAGTTATTGAATTCTGACTATTTGCCAGGCGTTGTGCTACAGACTTTACACCCATCATCTCATTTAATCCTCACAACAACCTTAACAGGTAGATGCTAGTAGTACCCCCATCTTGTGGAAAGGCTACTATATGCGTCCAGGGTCACGTGGACAGCAAGTCGAGAGGGGTGATGAGATCTCAGTCCCCTGCCTCACAATCACTAGTGTTCCAAGAAGTTAGAGAACTGAATTGAAGATACTCAGTGGGTTCAGATACTAGCAGAGCCTGGTTTTGTCAGCTCCTCCAGGCCATGCTGCCTTTGCACAGGGCTGTTCCATCACCCACTCTACCCTGCACAGAACCCAATAGCCGGTGAGGTCCCTGGTTAGAGTATGGGGCTGATAAACCCAGCACTGCAGGCTGGAGTCCCGGATGCACCAGGTGACTTCTAGCAGTGGACATGACTCATTCTTTTGACCACTCCACATCTGAGTCCCCTTCCTGTGTTAGAGGTATCCCCAGCTTTGAGACAGAACTTGCCTCCCATGAAAGAAGCTGAAAATGCCCCTTTCTGCCTCCCTTTCCCAGCCTCCCTTGCAACTAGGGCCTGGGCACATTACTTGGTCCCTCCAATCAGACCCACATGCCCAACTTTGAATTAAAGCTGCCGATGTAAAGAAGCATATCTCAACAATTGATGGTGGCAGTGGCAGCAGCTACATCCAGCTTTCAAGGGTGGTGGCACCTCCATCCCATGTTGGTAGTGCCAACACTGACGTTTTTGCTCAGCAGAGACAGTGGATCTCTTCCAGACCTGATCCGCCAACCTTCCAGATCTCCTGGGAAATAACCAGTACTTTCGACAAATTCCTTTTCTGCTTAGAGTTACCAGAATCAGTTTCTATTGCTTAAAACTAAGAACCTTGATTGATACAAAAATAGAACTCAGAGTGGATGGAGCAAGAAGTCCTGAGAGAAAGGGGTGGGGGAGGAGGGGAACTATGTAAGGCTGGCAACTGGGCAGAGGACAGTGAAAATCCAGCTAGTATTAAGGGACAGGACACCAGCAACCCTTGGCATGCTCTGGTGAGGCAGTTAATCCTGTGGTCCCCCAGAACAAAGTGCCCATCAAAGGCAAGGCTTTGGGGACCTGGTGGCTCCTGTCATCAAAGAGTATAAAGATTACCCTGAAGTCAAGGTCTGTTGGGCAGGGTGCTGTGCTAATGGCACCACATAGCTTAAAGGAAAGAAAGACAAGCTTAGGGGCCGGCTGAGTGGTGCGTTGGTTAAGAGCTGGCTTGGGACGCCAGAGAGCCCTGGTTCGGATCCCACATATGAGGGCCAGTGACACTGCCCTCTACAGCTAAGATGCTGAACAACAGCTCAACCTGGAGATGGGCTGCCGTGAGTCGCCTGCGACGGCTAGGCTGCAGCCCCTGCTGCAGTGGGTTGCCATGAGCTACCGTCTGTAGCCAGCAGCCAGCGTGAGCGGCCAGCGGCCGCAGTGAGCGGCCGCAGTGAGCGGCCGCAGTGAGCGGCCGCAGTGAGCGGCCGTCGAGAAGCCAGCGACTGATCTGCCTCGCCTGGGAAGAGCGCAATGATGGTGCCAACTTGGGCCAGTGAAGCAACGTTCTCCACAACTAGATTGAAGAACAAAAGGACAGCAACTTGTCTGTTCCCCTTCCCTCAATTCTTCAGTGCTGTTCCCATCCCCCAATTCCCCGATAAAAATCTTTTAAAAAAAGAGACAAGCTTAAAGTCTAAACTCTCCCTCAAGGCGTGGCTAGAAAACCAGGGAGTTTTTATATCTTGCAGCTACAAGGCTAAGAGATAGTAAATCAAATTTAAAGCTTGATCAATGGTTGTAAAATGACACCAGCAGACGGCTTCACACCCTAGCTAGTTCTCTAATTGGGGAAGAGTGGAGAGCAGAGGTCATCACAATGGGGCTTTCTGGGTAGGTGTGGAGAACATAGGTACCCCCCACGCTCACACAGCCTCCCTTGTGGGCCAAAGTGACGCCTCTTGGTCATTCTGAAGGTCCTGGTGGCAGAAACACACTAGCTTTTTGCCAAGCCCATATCCCTTTCCTCCTGGGCACACATCTAGGTGGAGTTTCCCAACCTGCCTTGTAAGTAGTGTGCTATGTAGCTGAAGGGTGGCAATGATGATGGGCGGGTGGGATGTGTGCCACTTCCATGCCCATAGCATCCTCTGAGTGACCGTCCCCTCTCC